CATTTTTGTTTTTAATTTTCTTTTCTATTCTTCTAGCACGCCCTCACTATAAGCGCAGGATTAAGACTCGTTAAGAAATAGTTTCGAGAAGCTTAATTAAAACGTTTAAATCAAAACAATTCGATATATTCTAATACTTCTATACCAATTCATACAATATCACGAAAGGTAAACAATTCAGAATCAACATATTAGTCATACCTAACTCCAAATAGTTTCGAAGATCAAATCCAAAATTCAGTTTAATAACCACAAAAAATGATTTTATTTTATTTTTTTTTAAAATGAGTTTTGGGATAGTGATTTTTTGAATAATGTGTGATTAAAAAATGTGATTTTTTTTTTAATTTACGTGTAACATAGCGCCTATCTGTTATTGATTTTTTGGTCTAAAATCTTGATTTTTGACCGTTAAAAAGCAACATGGGGCCCACCAATATGAGGAAGAACTTAAAAAGGGCTGCGGCAACGGTCATATTTTTTATTAAAATCAAGCAAAAATTGCTCCCAAACAAGCACATAGTTTATTGTGAGAATGTGTGGTTAAAAAATGTGATTGAGAAAGAAAAAAAGAATTTTATTTTAATGATTGTCAGAGCTAAGTAAGTTTTGGACTTCTTCCCATTTATGAGGTCAAAATGGTATATTCCCAACAATAACATCCACCCAAATACAATAAAAAAAAAATAAAAGAATTACCCGTTATTGATTAGTCTTAAGACACTGGGGTCATCTCCTTCAAACTGCCATTACCTTTTTCAAAAATCATTGCAAATCTCTCTCTAAAACACACACAGACACACATTGGAAAAGTGAAAAGTTCCCCTTCATATCAATCGATTTCCCTCCACTCTTTCTTTGTTCCTCTCCTCTGTTTATCAATCAATTACAACTTCACGCCTGCTTTCCCACGCTTCTTGAAAGTGCACTTGTTTTTTCTTAATCCACGCGTATTTCATTGTTCTGTTCAGGTTGTTTCACTTTTTTTCAACATGAAATCAATGAACATCCGCACTTTATTTTGCTCAAGGATATGCTGAAGAAGAAAATAGAATAATAATGGTTTTGGGTTTCGCTTTTAAGTGAATTGTATGATACTGATGCAGATTTTCATAGTGGAATGTTATTGGAAAACAACTAGCCAGATCTGAAGTTTGGCAGCAACTTTTTGGTGGGTATTGGAGAAAGGAGGCAAAAATGGTTTCGGAGCCTTGGATATTGAAACTGGGAAATCAGGTGAGTAGCAATTTAAAGCATGGTTTACATCTTAATAATTCGAAGAAACTACTGAATAAGAAACAAGCGCAGGAAGACAAACAGATTATTGGGATACTTTCTTTTGAAGTTGCTAACGTGATGTCCAAGATTATTTACCTGCATAAATCTTTGAGTGACCATGAAATGGTTAAGTTAAAGAATCAGATCTTAAAGTCTGAAGGAATAAGAACCCTCGTGTCTAATGATGAAACGCAGCTTTTAGAACTGGCTCTTGTGGAGAAACTTGATGATTTGAACAGGGTTGCTAGTGTGGTATCTAGGTTAGGGAAGAGATGTACAATTCCAGCACTGCAGGGGTTTGAGCATGTGTATGGTGACATTGTTTCTGGGGCGATTGATGTTAAGGAGTTGGGGATTTTGGTGAAGAATATGGACAGTATCGTGAGGAAAATGGAAAGGTATGTAAATTCCACAGCAAGTTTGTACACTGAAATGGAGGTCATGAACCAGCTGGAAGCGTCCACCAAGAAGTTTCAGCAGAACCAGTTCGAGGAAAGTAGGAAGGCTTTTGAACAGAAGTTGGTGGGGCAGAAACAAGATGTGAGTCATTTGAAGGATGTCTCACTTTGGAACCAGTCATATGATAAGATTGTCGAGCTATTGGCAAGGGCTGTATCTACAGTTTTTGCACGGATATGTATGTTGTTTGGGAATGCCCTTTTGAGGGGGTATACCTCGAGTTTTTCAGCTTCCAGGTCACAGGTTGGTTTTAGCGGAAGTTTGCAGCATGTGAAGAAAGAATTTGGGCAGAAATCAGGTCAATTGGATGTAGAGAGTAAGGTTCAAATGGGTGCTAGTTTGACAAAGTCAGTTTCTACAAAGAATAATGGTCATTTCCATTCAGGGCCAATTGAGAAAAGGGGGTTGGATAAGAAGACTGAATATTATAGGCCTCGAGATGGGCTGCAGAAAAGTGGAGGTTTGTTTGGTCCCGAGGATTTCAACTTTGCATGCGGTATAGGGCCAGGGAGGTTGTTCATGGAATGTTTAAATTTGAGTAGCTCTGCTTCGAAAGTGGATGATGATTATGTTAGTCATGATGATCAAATTAGACCGATTTCAGGTTGTTTTCGTGTTTCAAGTGGGTTGACAAGAGAGCAAACCAATCTCTCGGGTTGCTATTCTCGTTCACAAAATGGTGATCCTTTCAGTGGAGATCTGGGGCAGTTTAAGGCTGGTTTGATGAATGGAGCAAGATTTTGGCTTAAAGGTAGATTGTTGGCATATGCCCCTCCCAACACCGTTGGAGGCTCTGCTTTAGCCTTGCATTATGCCAATGTTATAATTGTCATAGAGAAATTGCTTCGTTACCCACATCTGGTTGGCCAAGAAGCTAGAGATGATTTATATCTGATGCTACCAACAAGCCTAAGAAAGACTCTGAAGACTAATTTGAAGTCTTATGTTAAAGATATGGCAATATATGATGCACCTCTAGCCCATGATTGGAAGGAGAGGCTAGATGGAATGCTTAAGTGGCTTGCCCCACTAGCGCATAACATGATCAGATGGCAAAGCGAGCGCAATTTTGAACAGCAGCAAGTTGTCACTAGAACAAACGTTCTTTTGCTCCAGACGTTATATTTTGCCGATCGAGAAAAGACAGAGGCAGCCATCTGTCAGCTACTCGTTGGTTTAAATTATATATGTGGCTATGAGCATCAACAAAATGCTCTATTGGACTGTGCAAGTAGTTTTGATATAGAAGACTCCATGGAATGGCAATAGCAGATCAACACTTCTTTTCATCCTTGATTTTATTTTTGGCAGTCATTACATAATGATGGCGGTATATTTCTAAACATTCTGTATTTGTATGTTAAGCATAGATGATAATTCTATATCCTGTGAATATTAGAGCTTTTGACAATGAAGATTTCTGTCGGAAATGGATTTGATTGAATTGTGAAATTTTGTTTAAAAGTACGTAATATGAGTTCACGAAGTACATTTCTTCTGTAGACTTCACTGTATTTTTTGTCAATTCTTGTTATTTGATTCCATTCCAAAATATGGAAGAAAGAACGTTTCAAGACTCTGCCACTCAGTCAAAAGCGTGTTCAGTGGCGTTACTCATTTCAGCGTGTTACTAATGATTGTGAGATTAAGCGCCCTTGTCCCATAAAGTGCAAATATTACGAAACCTCAACAAAGGAGTGATTCACGAAAATATTTGTTCGTTTTAAAATTATCGCAAGTGTATCGTTTGTTAACAAGTAGTAAAATGAATTTTGAATCCAAGTATCGTTCCCACAGATATTGATTTAGTTTAATTCGAGTTAATCTAGCTTTAACCGAAACAATTGAAATTTATGATTTTTTTTTTCTATAAATTAAATAATCTATATATAAAAATAAGACCTAAATTAATTAAAATTAATG